TCCTAGTTGTTCTGGAACTATTGATAATAGTTATTATTGATAAATTGATAAATATATTACAGATAAATAAAACATTTTTTTTTCAAACATTTTACTTTATTTGCATTGTATATAAAGTCTCTTGAAGTAATTTAGTTATATCTGATTAATATACATGAAATACAATATTCTCTGCACAAATTATTGCTTTTTTATTGTGCAATTAAAGTTGAGATAATTTTTTAGTTAATTGGATTTAACTAAAATAAAAAACGAAAATCAACATCGAATTTACAATATTTCAACGTTGTTCTAACGTCGTGTCAACTACGTATCAACCAAATATATCACCTATTCAAAGTTGAAATATGGTTGATATGTAGTCGATAAGACGTTAGATCAACGTTGAAACAACGTAATCATCGACGTTGTTTCAACGTCGTAGTTTTCGACGTCGGATTTTATTTCCAATTCAACCAAATTTCAACGTTGTTTCAACGTGGCATATGGTCGGCTTGCGACGTTGTTTCAAATATTATTTCAACGTCATTGTGCCTGCTGGGAAGCATTTAGCTAAGTAATTGCAAAAGTTTATTAAAGAAGAATAAAACATTCTTATTACGCATAAAATGAGTTTTGGACCTCTTGAACTTAACGTTTTGGACCTAATGTTTTAGTTACTTTAATAACTAAAACATTAGTTCTTAAATTGAAAATAAATAAACCATTCGTAAATAAAATATCCATTATTTCTAAACACTAAAAAATTATTTCTAAAAAAAAAACGTAGCATAAAATAGGGTTGTTCGCCGAAAAACAAAACTTGCGAAAATTTCGCACCTTTATCTACCGTAATAGAATTGTTACTGCGGAAGTTGCACATGCAAAAATGCACATTCCGTAACGCGCAATACAAAAAAATAAATAAATAAAATTCCGTAATAAAGCATTGCGAAAGAAAACTTGCGAAACAAATCATTTCGTAAGAATACTTACGAAATTGTTCCTTACGGAAGATGCATTCCGGAATGTGCAGTTACGAAAAAGACGCAAAAGATTTTATGTTACGATATATTTAAGATATTAACTGTTAACAGTTTAAATAATAAAATTATAAAAAAATGTTGTCAAATGATTCTTCAAATGTTTATACAAATATACCTAACATATATTTATATACATATATATATATATATATATATATATATATATATATATATATATATATATATATATATATATATATATATATATACATATATATATATATATATATATATATATATATATATATATATATATATATATACATATATATACATATATATATATATACAATCCCGTTAAGTTGGACTCTCAATGAACAGATAAACAGTATGCCTTTCTTTTTAAAAAAGTATAAAGAGGATGTGTGATAAACAATTTAATACTTTATTATAAAGAGATCTCTCTAAAGGTAAATGATATCAGAAAGAGTAAAAAGAGAAGAAATATATGTGAAACAGCGGGATGTGAACCTGGCCAATTGTCTTAACTGAATGAGCTATACGTTCGTTCAACTAAGTGAATAGTATTATTTATTTATTATATAATTAAGAAACTATATAAAACAGAATTTACAGAAAATGATACGTATGCAAATAGGATTCTATATATCAGGAAAATGTATAGTAATGTGAACCTTTAGTTGCTTATAATTAATATCTGGACTCGAAAACTAGCTACTTTTAATGGAACACAATAGGCTGTAGGAGCCTCAGGGAAATTATATTCAGAAATGATTATATTAGACTCAGAGTTAGCTAGAAATTATTACAAAGTGTTTAGGACAGATATCTAGTACAAAAAGCACAAGATTTAAAGCAAAATGATTTATATTATTTGAAAAAGTTGTTTTACGTACATTTCATCATAATTTAAGTAGAACTTATTAAAGCAAAAGAAACGTGTAAAATTAAGCACAATGAACTCAATCTTAAAAGAATAACTAACAGAAGAGAGGTTGTCACTATTATGAAGGTGACGAAAGATCTGTAATATAGAACATGGAGGTCAAAAAATCTTAAGTAAAAAGAGTTTGATGAACAAAAGTTACAATGGCTGCGGGATGCGAACCCGGATCTCTGCGGCAAATTATCACGTATCTAACTGATTGAACTATAAGATCTTATACTTAAATTTATATCTTATTAAAATTGAAAAACAATATTTTCTAAGATCTATACTTCGAAAAGCGTATTCAAACAGGACTCTACATATCTTTAAAATCTGCTAGAACTTTAGTAACGTGCACACTTTTAGAAAATATTGAAATAGGTTTATTTTATCAGAAGTATGCTTAAGCTAAAGCATATTTTTGAGCCTCTTTTTACTATTTGCTTAAGCATATTCGAACCTGTTTCAAAAATTTCATATGCTTTAAAAAAAAAAAAAACATGTATATTTCTACCCATCATTCTTATTTTTAATATACGTAATGAATTCAAAAAACATCGTTATATATATTTATTATGACACGTTTCTTAAGTTTATTTCCGTTAAGAATTCTTTCGTATGTTGTGATCCGAAATACTTTTGTTTCGAAAGAAATTTAATTTTTTATTAATATTTCTAAAAATAAAACCATAAAAATTATATACTGTTATCTAGTACAAAAAGCACAAGATTTAAAGCAAAATAATTTATATTATTTGAAAATTTTGTTTTACGTAAGTTAATAAACTTAAGTTTATTAACTTAAAAATAACAACAATAACAACAGAAAAAACTGTAACAACGTTGAAATTAAAATCAAAATAAATAATTAACAATTATAATCCTCGAGAGTTATTAAATATCTTGGTGTGTTAATTGATTGCAATCTTTAGTGGAACTTCCATATTGATGAGCTGCGCAAGAAACTTAATTGTGCAAATCGTATGCTTTCAGTAATTCGACATTATGTCGATAAAGTTACTCTTTTAAATATTTACTATGCATTATTTTCATCTCATCTTAGTTATTGTTGTCAAGTTTGGGGTCAAACTGGCAACTATCATATTAACAAACTAATGTCATCTCAACGCCAATCCATTAGGATAATAAACTTTCAACCTTTCAAATCAGATACATCAGATTCTTTTATAAAACTTAAAATTCCAACCTTTCATTTGCTAGTGAAGTTTGCGAATCTTCTTTTTGTTTTTAACTCTCTAAATAAAAATATACCTTTTTCTATCGCAAATTTTTTTATAAAAAGTAGACTAATTCATACACACTCTACGCGAAATATAAATAATGGTAAACTTATTGTACCATCATATAAAACTCAAAAGTATGGAAAGAATTCTGTTGTGTATCAGTGCATCTGTGAATGGAACAAGAGCCTTGTGTGCATTGTGAATGAGTTCAATAAACTCCAACTCCAAACTCCTTCGTCATCTTTTCTTAATCTTATTCAAAATTAATTTAAAAAATTCTGAAAAATATTTTGTTATAATTTTTTTTTATTACTATAATAATTATCCTTATTTTTTGTTTGTTTTTTTTTTCTCTTTTATTATTACCTACATATATGATTTTTTAAAAGTTTACTTTATATGTGTCTATGTTTTATGCCTATATGTTTATTATTAGTCATATTATTTTGAAAAATGGTGTCACTCCTTTGATCAGACTTCTGAATGAGTGACATCATTCATACTAATCATTAATTTATTATAATAAGAAACAACGTATCATTTTACTTATTATTATAGTAATTATTATTATTTATAATTTTTTTTTTGTTATTATTATTATTGTTATAAATTATTACTATTGCTTATTATTTTATAATTATTGTTATTATTATTTACCTTATTATTGTAAAAATGATTTTAAAATAGAAAATAAATAGCTTGTTGTTGTTGTTGTTGTTGTTTTTATTACTAAATAATAAAAAAGTCAATTATTTCGAATGTTATCTTTTGACTGTACTGCATTAATACCATCCGTAACTTTTTTCATTAAAACATTAGTACAATAGTGTATAAACTTTAAAATTTACTAAACAAAAATTGCTTTAACTCGAACTAATAATTAAATGCAAAAAGTAATTGCCGGCAGTGCCGGCAAATAATTCTGAGATTGATTGCCGGCAGGATAATTTAAAATATAAAATTAAAAATTCAACTTCTTTAAATGCTTGCGTAGAAAAAGTGGATATGAGATCACTAGATGGCGGCGACCCGAGTTCGGATGCAGCCTGTCAAATTTTCTTTTTTCGTAAAAATTTATGTTTTATTTCAAACAGTACTAATTTTTATTAGTATTACCCATCATCAGTGTTTGTTAATTTTTGTTTATTAATAATTTCCATTTATTAGATTTAAGTTTAATAGGTGCCTCAAAGTGTACATACAACAACTGATATATCCGTAGGCGAAACAGTGTATGCTTATGACTGATTTAGGAGTAAGTGCAGCAAGGTCTAAATTCAAAGACTGACTTGAAAAGGGATGGGCAAAGTGAAATGTACATACCACCTACTGACTTTGATAGGGTTAGACCTGTATAGAGCGTACATAGATTGACTGAGGGTTTCGGTTCGGACAGACAGTATATAATTAAAAAAAAAGTCTTTCTTTTTTTAATACGCGTAAAAAAAGTTATAAAAGTAAATTAAATAAATAAATATATATTAAAATAATTAAATAAATACATAATTTTAATTGTTATTTTAACAAAAAAACTAACAAACTAACCAAATCACTGTATTTAAAACATTCAAATTATCTATTTTATATTTATAAATATTCAAATTATTTAAAATATTCAAATTATTTACACGCGCTGCCGGCAATTAATTTCAGAATTATTTTTACCGCTAGCCATAATTAATATCAGCCAAAGTTCGACTTAACAACGCTTTAGTCGAACCGCTTTCGTTAGTTTGGTTCTAGTTATCGGGAATTAACAGTAACAACAAAAATTAATTTCAGTTGCTAGTCATAGTCTTGTTTACAATATGTTTAAAAACATGGCGGGAAATTTAAATGACCTTGAGTGACAAATTTTTTAAATATATTTTTTCAAAATAAAAACAGTTTAATATTATAATTGTCTAACCTTAGAAATATGAATAAAATTCCAGACAAAGAAAGCGATAGATTAAAGCAGCTTCAAAAAAAAAATAGGGATCTTATTTCAAAAATGAACTTTCGCATGGCAAAATTGAGTACTCTTGATATGGCAAATCGTTATCCTAAATCAAGTCAACCCAATTATCAGTACAGTGCCATTCAAAATTTTAATAATTGTTGTTCTAAATCTAATATAAGCAAATTATCTTCGGTTAAATTAAGATTAGATAAAAGTAGCAATGAAAACTATTCTGCTAGCACACCTAAACATTTTTCAACTAATTGTAAATCAGGAAAGTTCCAAAACAATTTGAAATCTGTTGGAAATAGTCGAATAGGAAATCCTGTTTTCTCAGTTACTCCGAAGAAAATTCAATCATTTACTAATCAGTTGAAAGATGACTTTAAGGTAGGATTTTGTGCAAACATACATATTGAAAAAATATGCTTTATAATAACAAAGGATTTGAATTACAAAATGAATAAATACACTAAAATACTTTTTTCTCTATTAATCTATTATATATATATATATATATATATATATATATATATATATATATATATATATATATATATATATATATATATATATATATATATATATATATGTTTACTATTTTTAACAGTCTCAAATAAAAACTAATAAAATATGCTTTGCTTACGATATGAAAAAGAAATTTAAAAAGTATCATAAGGAAAAACTAGATTGCTCAATGTTGGGGTATGATTGGATTGTAGGCATGCTTGAAAACGATTCTTATATAAATGAAAAATCAGAAGAATTTTATGATGAAATTTGTAAGTTTCGGCAAACAAATGCTGAAGATTGCAGAAGTGATACATTTCTCCCAAGGTATATGTCAAAAATATTGTTTTTCATTATATTTTATACATTTTAATTGTTGCAGTATCTACATATTTATTGCAGTATTAACGTATTTTCTTTTTTCAAACATTAACATTATTTTATTAATTCAAAATTTATTCTATTGTCAATTAATCTAGTTTACTTTAATTTTAACTTCTGCAGTCTTATTTTTTATTTTTTTTCTTCTAAAAAATATCTTGGTTTAAAAATCAACTTTTTTAAAAAAAATTAAATATACTATAAAAATTTTGAAAATACTATAAATTTTTTTAAATTGTTAAATAAACTTATTTAAATTGATTTAGTGAAAAATGTTTAGAGAAGGAGTTCATGGTTTCTGTTTCTTTTTTAGATTAAAAAATAAAGATATATTTTTAGGTTATGTTAATTTTTTTATAAAATTATTTTGTTGCATTTCAGTGAATACTCAGAAAATATGCAGCTTAGGAGTTCAATTAAAAGTAAATCTTTATCCTGTAAGTTTTTATCATTAAATTTTATTCTTCATTTGTTTTGATATATACAGTGCTGGCTGGTGGCAAATTTAAGATCAACAGTAAATGAATAATTTCCAAAGTAATACGTTGCTCTAATAATATTTGATCATTATTTATATATGTTTAAAATTACATTTATATAATTAATACAACAATTTTTTTTAATAAAGTGTATATATTGAAAATTCCTGAATTCTTTTTTGCTTAATCAGGATATTTTAGTACCAATAGAACTTAGTTGTTCTACAAATTGGCGGGTTTTCAATGTTATTTTCATAATAACTTTATTAGTTATTATATTATTATAATTAGTTTTTATTATATGTTTTTGATTTTTAATTATTTTATTTTTTATATTAGTAAGCTTAACAATAATCAGTGTGGTAGTGGTAGAGCGTTTGCCTCATAAGTGAGAATTTCTAAGTTATATCCCCACTGTGTCCCTGATAGTACTGTGCTCAACTTGTATTCCCTGGCCTTGTCATTCAAGGTTCTTGTTTCAGAGCTATAGAGTGGAGAGAGAATTGTAACCAAGTTGGCCTTGGGGAGGTGAATTCAAATAAAATTTAATTAAATTAAAAATTCTCAAGCGTGATAAAAGTTCTCCAGCGAATTACAAATATTAGATCATGACTAATTTACTCAGAGAAAGTGAATAAAGTTTCTTTTGTAATCTATTTAACAATGCAGGCATTTTCCTTGCAAGAGCAGGATCTGCTTACTGGAGGCATTTATCACAAAACTTATAAGGCATGAAATTAGTTTTGATCATATTGAAAGCTGTCATATCGAGTTAACAAAAATAAGTTAAAAAAAAGAGTTTGAAGTTTAAAAACTGTTGATTGTTTAACTGAAAAGCAACTTTTGAATAAAATTGATTGATGGGATAATGTTCTAAAAAGGATAATTAGTTTAAGATATATATGTTAATAAAAAGGATAATTAGTTAAGATATATATATTTATATATATATATATATATATATATATATATATATATATATATATATATATATATATATATAAACAATTTAAAATGTATTCTACAAAAAGAGTGCTCAATTTTCTTAAAAGGACAGAGCAATTACAAATTAGTAGAAAATCACTTAGCAAAATTTTTTCTCATTTAACACTGTGTTTCATCAATAAAGACTCATCATAAATGAATGATCAAATTAATAAAACTTCAATTTATACCAAAAATTAAATTACAGGAAGTCACATGTCTTAACTACTGCAATTTTTCACACATTTGTGTAATTTGCTGACACTATTGTAAAAAGAATTCCTTAGAAATGATTACTTAAGCTTTTTTAAAAAATAATATTTTTTTTTTCAAAAGGGAGTTAATGTAACTATTATTTGAGCTCACTTATTTTTATAGTTTTTTAGGAGAAACTTATTTTCGTGCCTGCATTTAGAAATCAATTCTGATTTTTTGTTTAATAAACATTCTTGGTTTGTATATGTAATTATTTCAAATTTTTTTTGTAGACATAGTATGCATTTTTTGGAAATATTGTTATATGCAGGCACTGTTTTAAGGATGGACCAATGCAAAGATAATTAAAAAAAAAAAAAAAATTCAGTGTAAAATCATCAATATTTTTATCTTTTAATTCCCATATATATTTTGACAGCATGGTGTCTTTTGAATACTTTTTATTTTTAAAAGATTGCTTATGATTGGCAAAACATTTTTTCCATTTACCTTCTGTTATGCCAATATATTGTTTATCAGGTACATTCTTAAAGGAGACAACACATTTATATACCACATTTTTTGATAAGCAACTTCCACTCATTGGACAATTGTTTTTTTGTTTACAATTACAATTTTCTGTAGTTTTTTCATTTTGGATATCTTTTTTGTTTAACAAAGCGTTGTTGTGACCTTTTATAATTTTTTCCATATTTTTTGTGCAACTGTAGCTAACTTTAATAGTATTTCGATTAAAAATTTTATGTAATTTATTAGAGGGCGGGAAATGCTTATCGATCAATTTTAAAAACACTTTTCCTATGTTTGTGGTAACATTTTTGCTATATGGGGGGTTGAACGAAATTACATTTCTAGTTTTATTTCGCTTTTTTGTATTCTTTTTTTCAAGGTCAAATTTTAATTCAAAGTTTTCAAAACCACTTTTTTTAAGGGCATCTTCAAATATCTGTTTGGAGGAATTGAATACATTTTCATTAGAGGAGTTTTGGTTAAGCCTGTTATTAATTGAAATTGGGATTTGTTTTAGAATTTGGGGTGGATGATTTGAGTTAATATTAATATACAATAATTCATCGTTTGGTTTTTTGAAAGGCTTATATGTAATATATATATGTAATATTAATATACAATAATTCATCATTTGGTTTTTTGAAAGGCTTCTATTTACGCAACAATATTACTAGTTCTTATGAGAAAGCCCCTAAAAATTTGGAAAATGCAATTAATTTAGAAGGGCAAAGTATTGCTAAAAAAAATAAGCCTTGATAACAAAATGCTCCTGCCCAAGCCTTTGTAACACTAAAAGACCATAAACCAAATTTTCAAAACAAACTTTCTTGTAGGTTATTGGTTCCCTCAAAAAGTGATTGGACATGTAAGCAAAATTAAATTGAACAAAATTAATAATATTCTTAGAAATAAATTAAATTTGCAACAGTGAAAAAATACCACTGATGTTATAAATTGGTTCTCCATAATCGATAATAAAAATGACTGTACAATTATTCAATTTGATATTAATGATTTTTACCCCTCAATAACTGCAGATATTTTAGATAAAACAATTGAATTTGCAAAAAGCCACACAGTTATTCCTGAAGAAACAACTCGCATAATAAAACATTGTAGAAAAACCTTACTTTATTTTAATAAGGAAACTTGGAAAAAGAAAAACATACATAACTGCTTTGATGTAACAATGGGCAGTTATGATGGAGCAGAAATTTGTAAATTTGTTGGATTATATATTTTAGATTTATTAAGTAAAATAATCAATATAAATGATACAGGAATTACTTCTCCTGCTGAATATCAACTTTGCCCATGCAATACATTTAGCAGTATTTAATGTTTTTTATAAAAAGAAAGTTAAAAATAATCAGATTTCTAATGAAGAAGATATTGAAAATGATTTTGACGTTTTTGATGATGAAAACAATAATGAGGATGAAAATGAAGTTAGTTACCCAGTGCGCATAAATTAATAATATCTAATACGCAATACCTTATGAACTGTAATTAATAATAACTAATATGCAAACCTTGTGACTGTTATCCAAAATAGTGAACTTTTCTCAATTTAGTTTGTTAAATTTATTTACTTATAAAAAAACGTATAAACTTGAAGAAAGTAAAATAAAAGGAAACTAAAAATAAAATAAAAGATGTTTTGACATTTCTTTTTTAAAACATTTAAAAATAATAATATAATATTAAGTATTTAATAAGTTATCCGGTATTTAATAAGTTATCCCGTTCCCAGACTTGCTATCCCCTCTATCACGGGATAGCAAGTCTGGGAACTCACAATCTCTACATTTAACTGACATCTATCTAATGCGGCAACCAATTTTGGAGTTATGAAATTTTTCAGCATACAAGTTTTATCGGGCTGAGAGGAAGCACCACTAAGGCTGAGTCTATTTTTTCGAAAATCTATTATTTCAGAATCAAATGATGAGTTTTCATGTGGTGGTTCATAAAATGATGTTGAGGGAGTTAACGAATCATAATATTTAACATGCCACTTTTCCTCCTCAATGTCTCTAAAGCCTGCTTTTTCTTCATTTTCTGTTAGTTTTTTGTCCACTCTGGCTAAGTGACCAGATAGACCTGGTTCTCTTTAACGCTCCAAGAAATCTTCCTTTATTTAATATAACAAAATAAAAATAAATTTTTAATTTTATTTGAGTTTTTTTCATTAGTAAATAGTGCATATATCTAACCTAATTGTCATTCAAACATTTGTAACAAATATTTTTCATAAACATCATTCAAAGGATAATGTGATTTTTTTAAAAATATAAGCTATTTAAATATCCGTATAAATCAGTTGTTTTTTTTGTAATATATCCTGATTATTTTGCAAAAATATATTTAAAAAAATATTTTAGGTGAGACATCTATATTGAGTAAATAGGACTTTGTGGTTATTGACTCGATATCACTCTTAGATTTATATCAAGAAGTTTATTGGTTGAAGTTTAAACTAAAAGCAATACTGTTAATATGTCGACACAGTTTGAAGTACCACATAAACAAATAGTTACAGCACTTCAGGTTTATGTTTACTAAAAATTTATTTTAAGATACCCAGTGCCGAGTACTGAAATTTGTGGCTGATTCTGGGTACCCGTTGAAAAAGCCGAATTACAGGGTTACTGGGTCCAAACTGGGTAACGCCATAACAGCCGTTGATGAATTTTACACTTTTATATTAAAAATATCAACTATTTAAAATGGCATATTTAAGGAGTAAGGTGTTATAATCATATAAAAAAATAAAAGCGAAAATATAAAAATACCTCTTTAAATCTCAATAAAGAAACAGTCACTCTAATAAAAAACAAATCGTTATTCCATATTAAAAAAAAAAAAAAAGATTTAAGCCCATATTAACTTCTGGTATTTATATTTATTATTAAATTCATCCACTACTGATTACTTTTACTGAAATTCCCAATTTCAGATATGAATGAAGATATCTAAAACAATAAACTTATTTAATTTAAGTTTCTATAAAGTTTCGAATTTTCAATAGTTTTATGACAAATTTAAGATATATATAAATATATATATACATATATGTATATATATACATATATATATATATATATATATATTTTTTTTTTTTTTTTTTTTTAACATCTTCACTTCCAACAAGGCTGCAAGCAACCACTATAAGAGTTGGAAGTTACTGGAAGAGAAAAGACTAAATCTGTAGAGCAAGATGACGATTGACTGATGACTTAAAAGATTGCAAATTATATGAATCAGGAAAGCAAGATGAAGGAAGCGAATTCCAAAGAACTGATGTTCGAGGAAAAAAACTAGAAGAATAAGAGTTTTTGAAGCACTTAGGAACAGTCACAGAAAAAGGATGAGACTTAATTGAATGGCGAGTAACACGAGAATGAATTTTAGTAGATGGCACAAGGGACGCTAGCTCTTTAGAGCAGTGCCCATTATAGTATTTGTAGAAAAGAGAAAGAGAAGCAACATTACGACGATGTGATAAAGGTTGGAGATTGGCTGCTAGAGCAGGTCCAACTATGTTTACAATTCGTTTTTGCACCTTGTCTAAAAGAGAAAGAGCATCATTAGAAGATCCGCCCCAGATGTGGCAACAGTATTCCATACAGGGACGGATTTGAGATTTATAGAGATAGAGAATAGAATCTGGAGTAAGAAAGTGTCGAGCTCGATTAAGAGATGCAACCTTAGCAGATGCTAATTTTGCAATGGATTTGATATACGGTTTAAAAGAAAGATCAGAAGTAAGAGTTAATCCTAGAAGATGAATGGTAGATGACTCATCTAGTACATTACCATTCATAAATATAGGAAGATCTAAATTATTACGATAACGATTGGCCGAATAAAATTGAGTTTTATCTGAATTAAAGTTCACCAGCCACTGTGAGCCCCATGCTGTAGCAGAAGTGAGATCCTTTTCAAGCTCAGATACCCCCTCCAAGCAATCAGAGAGTGTAGGCTTCTTATCATGACAAGAGTAAATGGTAGTGTCGTCAGCGAATAATGCCACCTTAGATGTGAGAATATCTGGAAGATCGTTAATGTAAATTAAAAAGAGTATAGGGCCAAGGATTGAACCTTGAGGAACCCCTGAAGTTACAGGATGTGAAGAAGAGTGTTGTCCATCGAGGACAACTTTTATACTACGATTGGAAAGAAAGGACTCAATAATCTTAAAGACGTTACCAGCTACACCATAAGAAGAAAGCTTATGGAGAAGACCAGCATGCCAAACTTTATCAAAAGCTTTAGAAATGTCAAGTGCGATAGCCTTAACCTCTCCACCTCTATCTAATGCACGGTAAAACCTATCGGTTATTACTGTTAGCACATCAGCTGTAGAACGAGAAGACCGAAATCCATATTGATGATCAGAAAGTAAGTTATTTGATTCAAGATGAGAGATTAAGTGTTTGTTGATTAAAGATTCAAAAACCTTGCTTATGACAGGAAGAAGACTAATGGGACGGTAGTTAGATGAATCAGATCGCTCTCCGGAATTTTTGAAAATAGGGATAACAGATGCTGCTTTCCAGCATGATGGAAAACAAGACTCTGATAAGCACTTGTTAAATAGTTTAGAAAGTATGGATGAAAGCTCCGGAGAACACCTCTGCAAGACTACAACAGGAATGTTGTCAGGACCACAAGCTGTTGAAGAGTCTAAGCAGGAAATTACTTTAGATACAGAAGCTGAAGTGATGCGAATGTCAAGCAAGGGATCAACCTGTTTGACGGCTATGTCAGGTAAAACGCAACTAGTGGAATCGAGAGATGATATTGATGAAAAGTTCTTAGCAAACAATTCAGCTTTGTCTTTAGGTGAGGTGACAAAGTCTGAACCATACAAGAGAGTAGGAATAACAGATTTGCCCTTATTATTGATACTGTTAAAGATTCTCCAGAAGTCTCGAGAGCCTAATTTTTGTGATGAGATACGAGATTTTATGACCTGAGAATAGCGAACTTTGGCATCAGACAAAACCTTTTTAAAATGGTTTCTGGCGATAATGAACAGATGTCTGTTTTCTGGAGAATTGTTTTGCTGATAGATATGGAAGTAACGGTTTCGATTAGAAATTGCTGCAGCGCAATGTGAGGAAAAAAATGGAGAAGAGTGAGGCTTGACCTGGAATCGTCGAGAGGGAATAAAAGATTCCATGCTAGCCTGAATCCACGAAGTTATGTAAGAAGCACATTTGTCAGCAGGAAGACGAAAGATTTCTACCCAAGGGCCATCACGAAGAAAATCACGGAAAGAGTCCCAGTCAGCTTTAAGGTAGTTGTACGTGGTACGATGATAGGGGGATTCTGATGAAGTAGAAGAGTTTGATAATAGTTTTAGAGAGGTCAAACCGTGATCAGAAGTACCTAAGGGTGAATGTGGAGAAATTGAGCACTGACTAGGATCCAAAACAAGACATAAGTCGAGTAGAGAAGGTAAATGATTAGGGTTGTCTGGAAAACGAGTTGGAAAGTTGACTATTTGAGTTAGAGATTGAGAAAAGCAAAAGTTGAGGGCCTTAACGCCAGCAGAGTCACTGACACTAGAGCTAAGCCAATCGGTGTGATGGGCATTAAAGTCACCAACAACGACGATATTGGCCGATGGATAAAGAGAGAGGTCTTGGTCAATTTGATCAGAAATAGCATCAAGAATAGTGCAATCTTGGGATGAAGGAGAGCGATATAGAACAAAGAGAAAGGCGATAGAGTGAAGTTGTGCTAAACGAAAGCACATAAATGAATAGTCTGTAGATTCAAACCTAGTTTCACGACAAATAGGTGAGTTCTTACGAATGTAGATGCCCAGGCCAAGCATGTGATTATTGGAGTCTTTACGAATTAAAGGAAGATAACCATCAACACTAAGATCACAAGATGGGACAGCCGAACTCAAATTAGTCTCACAAAGAGCAAGTAGGTCTGGTGAACTTTGTAAGAGATAAGACTCAACAGAAGAAAAGTTACTTCGAAGACCACGAATATTAGTAAATGATAGGTTTAGAGAACTTGTTGATGACAATGGTTTTTTGTGTTTTTTAGTTTTAGGTACTTTAGTCATTTTAAATTTATAGAGAACTTGACTCAAGTATAGATAGTACTCAGTACACTATTTAACAACTAAGCAATAGCCTCATTACTATTAATAAACCCTAAGCCGTAACAAAGGGCTCCAAATGTGGCCTCTGCAATGCACACCAACAGTACAAACAGGGACACCATCCATGCGCACCATGGCACTGTTAGTACTCTGATATTTTTCGGCTGTTGATGGAATCAGCCTCTCTGAGAGCTACCACAGAGTTCGGGAAACCTGACTACCAGCCGGCCTCAGAACCATAAAACTGAGTTTTAGAGCTGTACCCTCATTAGGAGATAATAGAATGAGTTGCCCAGTCGTAAAAATAGAGACACAAGCAATACCTACGCATTGAGTCAAGAAGAATATACGCATTGAGTCAATAAGAATATAGAGTCAAGAATATATACATATATATATATATATATATATATATATATATATATATATATATATATATATATATATATATATATATTTATATATATTATATATATATATATATATATATATATATTTATATATATATGTTTAGGTAGGTTTTTGTAGTGCATTTTTAAATTTTGAAAATATGTCAAAAGTCGTGGTCAATTTACCAAGACACATTAATTTTCGCATGGTCATATAAAGACGTGCGATCGCACGTCTTCCTGTGAAAGACTACTCTGTCTGTTTATTATGAAATCCTACATCAAATTCTGGCTCCAATGCATTTTAGTACGAAAAGCACCTTATTTGGTCTTAAACTTTTTGAAGCTTGTGAAAATTTACAAAACAATAGACAAAAGCATTTCCAAAGCAGCTTTATAGAAGTTTTTCCAGCATTTATGGTATTTGACAGATGTCTGTTTTGTCTTTATTTGACAATGATGTCGATCGAGAAAAATGGTTGCTAACTTAGCTAAAGTTAACCCATCAGCTCACAATAAGCATTACATTGCAATCAAATAAGAACTTTGTGGCCCACTTTTTAGTATGTCTTATTTATAAATTATACTTCGATTTTCTACTATAGTTTACCATACGATTGATAATAGTTCCTTCTGTTTTAATTTCAGAGAAAAATATCCATAACTTCATCTCTGTCAAAAGAAAGTTACTATTTAATTGACTCATTGATTGCAGTTTTTTGAAGAAGACCCCTTTTTTATGGTCAAATGATGATGTTTTCTACAAAAACAAGCTAAAAAGAAGCTATAGAAACTAAGAGCATTTAATAATACAGCAAAAAAGGTGGTTAAATAATGCTAGAATTTCATGATTTAATCACTGTTGAAGAGGAGCAAAAGCAATTTTTATTACGTTGGGTACAAGAACACAGAAACTTATATTATGATTGTAAAAAGCAAACTTTAAACAGGAAACTTAATGATTAATCTTTTATTTTACTATAAATACATGATAAATAATATGTGTTTTATTTAACGAATATAAATAAAATACTCTACAATGTAGATCCATACTAACTTTTTAACTTTGACCTCATGTCGGCAACAAAAAAAAAGCTGACAAATGCTTTAATGTGTTTACCTTATTATAGTGTCATTTATGCATGTTTATTTATATCTCATATTGCATACTTGTGTATTTGCAAGAAACATCACTGATAATATTATAATGATATAGTTGTAGGTTGGAGCTTTAGTCCATAAACAAACTGATAGTTAGGGTTGAGGTATGCAATTCTAAATATGCAGTAGTGTGTGATATATTTATAAAGTATACATACATCAGTGCGAGCTGCTCCTCATTTAAATTGAGGTTCAATTTTAGTTTTTTTTTTTTGCAACAACTGTGTCTTTTAATAAGCATTGCAGTATATTATGCAATTCATTTTTTTTTAAATGACATTGTGTTTTTTATTTTAATTACAACAATAATTATACTTTCGACAGAAAAATTATATTTTTGCAAGAGCCGTAAATTGCTCCCGTAAATCGTTTTAGAGTAGTGTGGGCAATAGCGAGAGCTAAAGCTCTCGCTTGCCGCCAAGGCCTATATATATATATATATATATATATATATATATATATATATATATATATATATATATACATACTTACATACATATATATATATAGAGAGAGAGAGATTTTATTTATTCCTCAATTTTTTTATTTAGGCAAAGGAAGATCGTACATGATAAATAATCGTTTAAATTTTATTCCAGTTCAGAATTTTAGAAATATTTTGTGTGACACAAGCAATAATCTTATTTCAAATTTTAAATCTGACTGTGTAAGGTATACTTTTATGCTATATATAATAGTTTTTGAGCTTCAATTTTTTCAGACTTTTTTTGTTTATGTAGAGTCACAATACCAAAGTCTGCTTGCAAAACTGAGTATAAGGTTAGGTCACACAGGCGCAAAAGTTTTGATCCAAATGATTCTGTTGCTTTATCTATGGTAGGACATTAATCTTTTTAATATTTCTTCTTTTTTCGAAATTTTTAAAACATTAAATGTAGTTGAGAATATTTTACAAAATAAAATGTAATAAAAAATAATATTTTGCTATTTTATTTTAGTTTTACACCATATTAGTATTTTTAGATTCTTACTATTTTAATTTAGGCCAAAAAGTTAGACAAATCTTTTTTTTAATAATAAAAAAAATGAATATTAAAATAAAGTCCAAAATCCTTCTTAACGTTTTGTCAGTTTTTTTTAATGGTAAGTTATTATTTAATTGCAATGTTAATTAGTGAGTCCAATTTTTTATTTAGCTCAGTGTTGCTATTAATCAATTAGAATACAGAAACTTGAAACACTTATGCAACTTAAAATGAAATTTAACTAGTAAATATTAGAATATCTATCAAACAAATATGCATATATCGCTGCAAAACAAAACTTGAGTCCATTTTTGTTGTTCCGAGAAAAAAACATTTAAAGTTTTAAATTTATCACTACCTTTGAATTTTAGAATTAAACCTAATTATTTTCTGTTTATATCAAATTCTTTCCCTTATTCAGACCAGTCTTCAATACATAAAAAAATCTATGTCCTGTGTTTACTTTAAATTTCCTAATGTTTATAATTCATCATGATGGACCCTTCTTCTTTTTTTGGTTTGTATCTCAGAGAGTTAGGATAAGTTTTTCAGACTTTTGATTGTCTCTTAAATATTTTTTTTGGACATAAGATATTTGATAAATTCAAATCCAACTTTTAAATATCTTTTTAATCTATCCAAAAAAATAGTCTGAGTCCAAAATTTAATCATTTTTGGCCCCAAACATTGTGAGATGTTTTTTATACAGTTAAGGAATATTATAAACTAAAAAAGTCATTTTTGCCAAAAATGAACTAAAGATAATTTTGCTTTGCAGCAATGATATACTCTTGCATTGTGTATTTAAATATTTTTTATAAACAGTAAACAACTTTAATTATTAAGTTTTACAAAGAAGACCAGAAAATCAAAAAACTTTTAAAGTGCTTTTCTTTTTTTTTTTTAAAGACCAAAACTTTACTTGATGTATGTACTCCTGTCCTTATAAAATCAATCAATGTATATACACTACACTGCCCCTTTTTTAAAAAATTCGTCAATAAATATACATTTATACAAAGTTATATAAAAAAAAGTAAATCAAAAAAAAACAAAGTGCATTTTTATAAAATGCAAAAGGTGTAAATTAAACTGTTGACTTTAATCTAAAGTTTAAAGATGTAAATAACAAGATTTGAGAAAATTATGTTACTTAAAAAAAAAAAGGTATGGAAAGCTTTTCTTTTAAAAGTTTTTTTTACTGTATATCTATATAACCTGGGTCTCAAAATAACTATAATTTGTAGAATCTTTTAAGTTCAAATCTTTTTTGTTAAAATCTTTTTTAAAAAAAAGGTTGTTATGCAACGAGCTTATCAATTTTTGTTAAAAAATGTGTTTTTTGTTTTTTTGTATATAAGTTTAAGTAATTTGATTTGATGTGAATCATTTGCTGAAATCTAAAATTCTGGGTTTTTTGAGACCCAGTTGATATAATTTAGGGAAAAAATTTTTTTACTGATATTTGGGACCTATCATGTAATCAAGCGTCATACTGAGTGACCGTTTTTTAAAAAGTAAAGTTTTTTAAAAAGTTACAAAAAACTGCTTCTATTTTTCAAAGATTTAGTTGATAAATGTTTGCTTTACTGCATAAAAAATATAGGTACAATAAAAGAATAAAAAATTAAAATGACAACAAGAAGCACAAAACAATAAAAAAAAGTCTTTCAAGTTGTTTTGTTGGATTTTTTTTTTAACAAAATTAATTAGTTTTAAACAAGTTTTAGTAAGAGTTGTTTTATTTCTTTGTAAAAAAACTGTTTCTACATTTAAACTGTAAATAATAAATATTTGCAATTATCTAAGCACCATTTTTTTTTACTTTTCGTTGTATGTCGAAGCATGTTTAGTTTTTTTTTATTTAAGCAGATTATGTATAAAGATCTGTTACAACAACAAAATATTGTCTATGTGGTAGGATACTGAAAGTCAAAATAAATATTCATATGTATACAATATTTTTTTAGCATTGCTTAGCTGGTTGGAAGAATTCTAAACCATTGCTGGCACCTGGACCAAAAAATATTGACCTCAAATCACATATTTTACCCCAGAAATCTGTAAGTTATTTTTAGCTTAATCTTATTAGATTTTTAAGTTTTAAAAAAATTGCTAAAAAGTCTTTAATTCATGTCGTCAAAACAAAATAAAAGTTTATTTTTGTTTTGATGTTTGTTTTACTTGTGTCATGTCGACATATTTTTTTATTCTGAATTATAATAGTTAATTGATTAATTTTAGCTAATTTTATTTGAACCCTTCTCACATTCGCGCTGCTTTTTTTTGCAAGCTTTTTAAATCAAATTTCAAACCTAACATGTAGATGCTAATGTCAAATAAAAATAACTATTAAAAATTATATGGCTATAGTATTTATACCATTTAGGTGGTAGTCATATATAGCCCATATGTGCCTATATTAATTAAGTATTATAAATATTATACATGGTCCACATCTTCGCCATCCCAAATATTACGTGTAGCTACCACATTGCGTATTGAGTGTGATTATCCTGGTCTGCATCAAAAATTTTTGTTCTATGCAACAAAGCACTAATTCACACTTTATGCAACTCAGCACTAGTTCATGTTCTAAGCATTAATTCACATTCTAATTTACTAAACACTAGTTTACGCTATATGCAGTTAAGCACTAATTTACATTCTAAGCAGTAATTCACATTCTATGCAACTAAGCACTAATTTACGTTCTAAGCAACTAAGCATTAATTCACATTCTAATTTACTAAGCACTAACTCACGTTCTAAGCAACTAAGCACTAATTTACGTTCTAAGCAACTAAGCACTAACTCACGTTCTAAGCAACTGAGCACTAACTCGCGTTCTAAGCAACTAAGCACTAATTTACGTTCTATGCAACTAAACGCTAATTCACATTCTATGCAACTAAGCACAAATTCATGTTTTAAGCAACTAAGCATTAATTTATGTTCTAAGCAATTAAGCACTAATTCACGTTCTATGCAACTAAGCAACTTGTATTAAATTAGTTAAATTAGTCCAAATCTATTATTTAATTACTAAAATGTGTGGATTAGAAGTTTTTTATATATTTGATCATGTTTTGTATCAACTTTAGCGAACCTGAGGAATGCTCCCTTTTTCTAGAAAACTTTATATATCTATATTAAAAAAAAAAAGTAGTAACCAATCATTGGTAATCATTTAAGTGTATACAATTTTTTAATTTGTCATTAGCTAGCCGCTTTGGTGGCTGCCACTAATGGTCTACTAAGTGACTTATGAGCAAAACTATAGTAGACTGCCCAAAATGCCTATATAAGTCCACTGAAATTCTACTATAAGATGTTTGCTAGGGAGTTTCACATTACTTATTTGGATTTTAAGAATACTTCAGACGTCCATTTATATAGAAGAGCTTTAGCAATATCACTTTTATCTTTTCAGCTTTGGTTCAATTTCCAGCAAACATTTTATGGCAGAATTTCAATGGACCTATATAGGCATTTTGAGCAGACCGCTGTAGTTTTGCTCATCGGTTACTTAGTGGACCATAAATGGCAGCCGCTAAAAGTGGCTAGCCGATGGCTAGCCACTATTAACATTATTAAATTATCGGCTAGCCAGTGACGGCTTCAGAAATTTTTTTGGGGGGAAGGGGAATATCGGAATTTATTTGTATTTTGTACCACATTGGCGTCTCCTTAAAAAAAAAAAGGTCCTCAATTTCTAAGGTATTTAGGACTTTCAGATTTTGGGTGGGAGGATGTATACCCCCACCCTCTCCTGGATTCGTCACTAAGTAACCGATAAGCAAAACTCCAATGAACCGCTATAAAATGCCTATATAGGTCCACTACAAATCCACTAAAACAATGTTTGCTGGGTTGAGTGAGGGATTGCCAGTTACACCATTAACGTATTTGAAATAAATACTTTTAAATGCATTTTCGGAACCTTTACGTTATAAAATTTTAGTAAAAAATTTGCAATATAAAATATACCAATAGCGTGATTCCAAAATCAAAAAACTTATTTTTAATACTCTCCAAATATAAAAATACAACTATTATGGATTAATAAGAAATTGAAAAAGAGTTTACTTTTGAGTTTACGATTAATAAGAAATTGAAAAAGAGTTTTGTTAATGAGGTTTTATAAAGTTCTAAAAAAATGTGTTTGAATATAATTTTTCTTGCTAGATTATTTTGTGTTTTTTTTTTTTTTCAGAAACTCAAGTTGAAAACAAAATGATGCGAAATGATTAGAGGTTGCATATGCAAGCAATTTGACGCGAAATGATTAGAAATTGTATATGTTAATTAGTTAATAGGAAATTATTAGAGGTTGTATTAGATGATATTTAGTCTGACTTCTCTAAATGCTCGAAGTTTGGGAAGTCAGATGAGAAAACATTAAAATATTATGCAGAAAAATATTTAAGCATTTTTAATTATAGAAGTGCTAAACTGCTTTTGTAAAAACTTAAATAAAAATGTGTGGATAAAAAGAAGTTTAATTTATTTCTCACTCTAAAACATCTTTCTATTTATTATAACGAAACTGTAAAATACTAATTTGAAATGAATTTAATTTTTTTTTAAAAAGGCTAGAAAGTAAACAATAAAAAACCCCTAAAATTACACAATTTTCTATTGTTTTTTTCTAACATTAAAATAAAGCTGCAGAAATATATGTGTTCCGGTAGATTGTAAAATGCATTAAAAAACCAAAGTTTTCTTGTCTGACTTCCCAAAGTTCACAAAAAAATCAGACGAAATATCGTCTAAGGTTGTATATGCATACAAGTTGACGCGAAATGATCAGTGGTTGATTATATACACAAGACATTAAAGCGAAACTTTTTTTAATAAAATGGTTTTATTGTTAAACGAAAAATTTTTATCAATTTTTTTTCGTTGTTTTTTGTAATGCTTATAATTTAATAAATATATGGGCAAGATCTTAATGTTGAGTTTGTATTTAAGTAAAAGTGCTATACTGCTGTCGTGTTTCAATGTAAATGGTGTAAATGCTGCTGTCGTGTTTGATGTAAATGGTGTAAATACTGCTGTCGTGTTTGATGTAAATGGTGTAAATACTGCTGTCATGTTTGATGTAAATGGTGTAAATACTGCTGTCGTGTTTGGTGTAAATGGTGTAAATATTGCTTTCGTATTTGATGTAAATGGTGTAAATACTGCTGTCGTGTTTGATGTAAATGGTGTAAATGCTGTCGTGTTTGATGTAAATGGTGTAAATACTGCTGTGTTTGTTTAAGTCAGTATACAGTATCGGATAAAACAAGTGCAACCAAATAATGCTAATTTAGTTTCTTTATATAAAAGTGCTGCATTTTTTCAATTTAGAGAAATAACTATGTAACTGTTTAGAGACAACGTTCTTCAAGTTTTATTCATCACAAAGTTCATTATTTGTACACGAAAATTAATAAATTAAAAAAAGTTGATTACCTTCTGGACAAAACAAGTGCAACTCCCCAAAATGTTGACCAAGCTGTATTTCGCTATCAATATTTTTTGGCGAATCCTTTGTTGTCGATCACAGCCTCGCATCTTCGAGGCATAGATTCGATCAGGTAATCAATGAAACTTTGTGGAATCGATGTCCAGGGCTTTTGGATTTGTTCAAACAGTTGATCCTTATTACGAACACCTTTACGATTAATTCTGCGGTTGACGATCTTCCACAGGTTCTCGATAGGGTTGAGATCCGTAGATTGAGGCGGCCAATCCATCACCGATAGGTGGTTGTCTTGAAACCACTGCTTGACTACTTTTGCAGTGTGTTTCGGATCGTTGTCTTGCTGAAAAACCCATTTTATTGGCATATTCCATTCAGCATGAGGTAACATAACATCTTTCAGGATATTGTTATACATGAAACAGTCCATTATTCCATCGATTCGATGTATTGGACCTATACCGTTAGCAGAAAAACACCCCTAGATCATTACATTGCCTCCACCATGCTTCACGGTCTTATGGCAGTAACGTAAATCGAGGCGTTTTCCGGCAGGTCGACGTACACGGCAAATGCCATCGCTCCCAATGATGTTGAACTTCGACTCATCACTGAACAGGAGTGTTCGCCATTTCTGCACATTCCAGTCAATATGAGATGTAGCAAACAGGAGTCTTTTCTTCTGGTTCTTAAGTGAAATCAGCGGTTTATTCGCAGGGCGTCGAGAAAACTATCCGGCTTCAACAGCACGTCGTCTGATTGTTCGGTCCGATACAGGAAGCTCTAATTGCTTTTGTATCTCGACTGATGATATCCAGGGATCCTTCTTGACGGATTTGACAATCATAGAATCCTCTCTAGAAGTGGTGGAATGCGGTCTTCCACCTTTGTTATCTTCTGCCACCTTCCCCGTAGAACAATGTTTGGAACATAGTCTTGATACGGTCCATTTTTTCACGCAATATTTATTACAAATACTTTTTTGTGACATTCCACTTACGTAATTGCCAATGATTTTCTTTCTTAGTTCCAATCCAAGACTGTCGGGAGCCATTTTTGCACTTGAAGTCATAAAAATAAGTAATCACGGTTCTTAAGGCTTACCGTGTTAACATCCAACCTAGACGTTGTGTTCCACAGAGCATTATTGTATCATCACAAGGTAAATGTAGTAAAATGAACCTGTGTGAACCTGTTCTGGAAGATTCTAGATGCTTCTTTTCGATGCTTCTGGAAGCTTCTGAATGCGTCTGGATGCTTCTGAATGTTTCTGGATGCTTCTTCTGGAAGCTTCTGCATGCTTCTGGAAACATTTCGATACTTCCTTTAATTATTAAAAAACTTCTGTGACGTTGACATGGACCAGACTTAAGAAAATGAAACAAATCAAAAAAGTTGCACTTGTTTTGTCCGCTGCAAAATGGCACTTGTCAACGAAATTCTGCCTGTGTGCTGTCAGCTAATTGCTCATGTCATGGCATGCTATGACTCCAGACTCCTGAACTGTTTGCTGTGGTCGTATAGTTCGTTTCGTTTTTTAGTCATGTAAAATTAGGAACACTTTTTAGCATTGTTTGATGTTGGTTGCAAATGTTTTGTCCAATACTGTAAGTCAAAATTGAAATGAATTAAATGGTATTGGTTTTTAATAAAAAACTCGGTTAGGTGGCGATTTTTTAAAGTCTTCATAACTTTAAACGGTAGGTAAAATTACACCGGTTTTTTAATTTTTTACTTTATCTTTATTTTTGCTTATATGTATCATCACAAGGTAAATGTAGTAAAACGAACCTGTGTGAACCTGTTCTGGAAGATTCTAGATGCTTCTTTTCGATGCTTCTGGAAGCTTCTGAATGCGTCTGGATGCTTCTGAATGTTTCTGGATGCTTCTTCTGGAAACTTCTGGAAGCTTCTGCATGCTTCTGGAAACTTTTGGATACTTCCTTTAATTATTAAAAAACTGTGCGACTTTCTGAAAAAATCAGACAGAGCTCAATAATGACCTTCTTCAAAATTGCTTTATATATATATATATATATATATATGTATATATATATATATATATATATATATATATATATATATATATATATATATATATATATATATATATATATATATATATATATATATATATATATATATATATATATATATACTGTTGCTATTTATACTAGAAGTTCGATTCGTAATTTTTTAAAAAAATATTAATTGGCTCTAGATATTAGAAGTCAAAATTTGACTAAATTTTTTGAAATATTGATTGGTGCCGAAGGCATTTTTAAACTTGACTAAAAAACAAAGTAAATACTTTACAATGAGTATTTCACTTGATAATTGTTTATTGGCTAGTTTAGACCAAAATTTAATAAATTGTTAAAAAAAAAAATTTTCCTTGTGTAAACATCATTTTCCGAAATTCGCGAAAAATGGTTTTGTCCTTTTTGATCTTCGTTTTCTTTCTAAGCCGTGTTTTTTTTTTTTTTTTTTTTTTTTTTTTTTTTGCTATTATAAATCTTTCTTTAAATAAAGGGATATATAGTTAGTTTATTTTGTCGTTTTACACATTTTACAATGTTATCTTTAAATTCGAATAAATATATATATAATTACAAGCTGACAGGGGCAAGTAGAAGACATAAAGTCTTATCATCAAGCCCTTTTGTGAAATAGAGAAATATAAAATTTCTAAAATTCCAATAATATAAAAAAGAGTTAAATTAAAAATTTTGAAAAAAATAAACAAACATTCAAACAAAATTAAAATAAAAATAAAAAAATTTAAAGAGTTTGAAATAAAGTAAAAAGATTGAAAAAAATTAAAAAGTTTAAAATAAATTAAAAATTAAAAAAAGTAAAAATTAGAAAGAAAAAAAAATAATAATAATAATAATAATAAAATCTCGAAATAAAAAAATAAAAATGTATACAATGCGTAAATTAAAAAGTTTGAATTTTTTTTTACAAATCAGTACATATACGTATACATATTCAATACAAAGCGAAGTATATATTCAAAAATATTTATATATTAAAAAGATTCCAAACGTTATGTAGATTTAAATTCATTTGTTAGTATTTATTAAAAAAAGTTAAAAAAAAAACAGTCAAAGAGAAAATCAAACAAGAAAGATATATATGTATATATATATATAAAAAAAAAAAAAAAAAAAAAAAAAAAAAAAAAAGCTTTTTATCAAATTTATCAAAAAAATATTATTTTTAAAAAAATGAAAGAATGTATGTAATGTTTGAGTTTAGTAAGTGTTTTTTTATAGTTCTTTTGAATATATCAATAGATTTTATTTTTTTCATATTTTCGTCAAGAACTGACTTCCACAAGCGTGGCCCCCGACATGTAATTGAGAAGTCAGATTTTTTGAGTGATGTTGGTGGGATGTAGTAATTATTTATTGAGTGTCTTGTTTCATATTTATGGTTAATTAGAGAGAAACCTTTATAAAAATATTTTGGAATTAGTTCATTTTGAAGTTTAAACATAAATAACAAGTTATGGTATATATTTAGTTCGTATACGTTTAGCGCATTAATTTCCTTAATCTTCGTCTAGTTAAGTACCTAAAAGTATAAAAAAAAACTATGGCTAAGTAAAGGCTTAGCTGCAAAATCCAACTCAAAAACAAAATTCTGATCTTTAGACGGATTGATTGCGACATGATAATGGTCAAACCCCTGGTTTTAAAAAAATATTGTATAAGAGAAACGTAAACATTTCTATTAATTTACAGATTGAAACATAATAGTTGTGGGGTAAAGGCATATTTGATAAACATTTTAAAAAACTATTAGTATTATTTCGAGACCAAATGACGGTCTCGTCATCAAAATACAAAATAAAACGTCATAC